GGCAAAAAATTGTCATATATGAAAATTTATATATGTGATCGACTATGTTTGTAAAATCATATAATGTAAGACACCCCCCATAATAGTAATACTAAAATCAAAATAAAAAAGTTGTGACAATTTCCGTGAGCCTCTCTTTCTAAAAAAAAAAAGAGAATCAAGCTGAAGCACCCCATTTCATTGGCCATGTAAGGTATCTGTCAAAAAATCCACCATATGCTTATTGCTTGTTATCTTTTATTGATAACAATAATATTACTTTTATCGTTAAACCTTTTATTAAAGGAATAAAAGTTTTTGTTTCGTTTTTTTTTATAAAACCGAGTTCTTCATCGATTCCAACCTCCAATTAAAGTACTAGAAATTGGTAATAATAATAAACAATGCAAGTTTTTAACAAATATACCCTGATTTAGTTTTAATTAACCCTTTTTTATTAATAATCATATAAATATACACTTTAATTTCACCATATTTAATCAAGTGATTTTAAATATACATGTAATAGCAGTAGGTTGATCACTTGTGGCTTTTTGACGCAATTGATCGAAATAATAATATACTAAAATCTTTTTCCCACCAAGGCGCAACCAAAATTTTTTTTGCACAAAAAAATATAGTTGTGGGTAGGAAAGTGGAATCGTCCAAATTTCTTTAATCGACTAATTAGTCGACTAAATTTTTTTTTAATAATAATAATTATAATAATATTTTTGTTTTTTTTTTAATTTGCAAATTACAAATTCATTTCCATTTGAATCTTTCACTTTTTCAAAATACTTTCATACAAAACCATGGGTTACGATTTGTTTTTTTAAAGGTCTTCTGGAACCACCGCTTAAATCATTGGAATTTGAAGCCAATGAACTATTGGACCTTGTCTCGGAAGTGTTTATTAATTCACATGTAAAATCATCAACAACAACATCGCCATTGTCGTCATCATCATATTGATGGTATTGATACTCTTCCACACAGAATTTTCCATTTTGAATGATAAAAATCGTAAGTAATTAGTATTAGTATTAGTATTAGTATTAGTATTATAGTCGACTAAATAGTCGATTAAAATAATTCAAAATAGTTAAGATAGTCGAATATTAATTGTTCAAAAAAAGTTTAATCGACTACTTTAGTCGATTCCAACATCTAACTTTAATTATTATATTTTTTGATGTAGTCTTCTCCATTTTCTTGATTTATTAATTCGGAAAAAAAAAAATCAAAAGAATAAATATACGATTTACTAACATTTTAAAATAATAGCCACGCTCTGTTTTCTTTTTATATCACTTGAAACTTCAATATTAAAGCATTACAAAAACCTGTACCTTATAAATGGTGATTCTTGAAATTGGATTCTTGTTACTACTATATTTAATGGTTGCAGGAGAATATCTTTACTTAGAAGCACAAGACTGATTATTATGTATGTTATCGTGTATGATGGATGACTTGTTGGGAGTGTGTCATATTATAATTAAATAAAATTTGTTTTTTGAATGCGATGCAATTATACGTATTTTGGAATGCTACTAGTCCATAAAAAAGTAAGGTTTTAGTTCCATATTTAGATAAATTGTAGTATGTCATCTATAGTTTATCGGCAATGGTGAAAAAACATCAAAAATCATCATATTCTTTGAAAAACACTATTTTCGTAATGTAGCTAGTCCATGAAAAAAATTTTTTTATTGCTATTTTTGAATATAGTATAGCATGATGTCCTCTAGTTCATTGGTATAGAGAGCCTTTTCTAATTTTGTTAATAATAAAAAAGTTTATGGGCTTTAAAGTTATGCAATTTTTGCCTTCTATTTCCTTAGTTGCAAAATTTCCTTTTAAGGATAATGGTCAATGTAACATTAAAAAATTGATTTATATATATATATATACCACAATGACTTTAATTATATTTATGACACCCCAATGGACTTGTGATATAAACGATCAGCTTTTATGTAATTTCAGTAGCCAATTAAATTTTAATGCAAACCAAAAAATTATCCACTGTTTCATATGTTTCATAAAATTTGTACACGTGCATATTTTTAATTAACATTAATGAATTAAGCCAACCAAAACTAAGCCAACAAACATGGCTTGCCAATAAAATAAAACAATTTCACAATAATAAGAATAATATTTTTCATTCATTATTTATTTCCTATTCATGGATTGCATATATGTTTGTATATGTTTGTCTCACGATAACCAAAGCTAACAAATGAGTCTCTTAATTTATATGTTAGGATGTACATTCGATTGCTCTCTTTATTGATCTGTTTTTGTAAAACCCCTTGTTAATTATGAATAAAAAGTCCATAAATTTTTTTTGAAAAAAAAATTTATTTATTTATTTATTTATTACCTGAATTTTTAGACAAATATGAATAGTTCTGAAATCAATGGCATATTATGTAATAGATGTGGAAATACCACTAACAGCAATAATACTAGCGCCAACAATGAATGCATTGAGTGCAAAGACAATAGACTCAATGGAGGAGATTCGTTGACATCCTTATTAACGTCATCGTCGTCGTCATCAATAACATCAAAATATAATCATAATAATAATCATTTTTATTATTATTATAATAATAAAAGATTTAATTTTAATTTTAATAAATATAATAATAATAAATTAATATTATTGTTGTTAAGATTGGCTTTATTAATAACAATTTTTGTTATATTCGGAGTCTCAGTCATAATGGTTTATGAAAAATTTACAACTCCTGTTTTCAACTCTGACCTCTACAATAGCACATTTACATGTCACGATTCACTAACATGCGAACAACGCTATTTTATGAACAATCATCATCAAAATAACTCGATTAATACACCAACACCAACATCAACATCATCAACACCCAATAATGTATTTATTAGCTCGTTATACTCTGATAGTTATTTACCGGGCATTTTATTATTGGGATATACAATTAAAAAGCATCATCCAAATCACAAAATGTATTTAATTTTTTTCCCTGATAAATTGTCAGAGAATACGATTTGCCAAGTGAAGAAAATTGGTTGGATACCAAAAATTGTAGAGAGAATTCCTCCACCATGGGAAGGTGTTCATTTTACTTTTGTAGATCAGTTTACAAAATTACAAATGTGGTCGTTCACCGAATATGATTCTTTGATTTACATTGATGGCGATGCGATTTTAACAAACAAAATTGACCATTTATTCGAATTGGTTAATGGTAAAACTGGGTTCGAATTTGCTGCTGCTCCTGATGTCTGGAATGGAAGAACAACCGTCAACTTTAATGCTGGTGAGTGAAGATTTAATTTCTGCTTTGGATTAATCATTTGGGTTAATCTATTTTTGTGGAAATTAGTTATTTAATTAATTTAATTATTGATTATTGATTATTTTTATGATTTGGTAGGATTAATGTTGATAAAACCAAATGAAGCGGTCTTCAAAGAAATAATGAGAGTACATAAGATACGTGGAACATATGATATAGATTTTGCTGAGCAAGCATTCCTAAATGAATATTTCAGATTCAGGTAATTAATTAATTAAGATTACATACATATTTTATATATATGTATAATATTACCTACCTAATCATCATGTGATATTTACATTCAAATTCTAGAGGTTTGCAATTGCCACAAATATATAATACTAATATATCAATGATGAATGCGTATCCACATTTATGGAAGATGTTATTGAATGACATGAAAGTTGTACATTACACTTCACGAAAACCATTCATCAAACCAAATCCAGGAATATTCAAAGAACCTTATGATCTATGGAATCAATTATATCAAGAAATGGATGCTAATATAAATTTAAAAAGAATAGAAAAAGATTGTCGTGTTGTTAACAATTATTTTTGAACAAGTAACTTTATTTTGTAATGTTTATATTAACAATATAAATAATATGTAATTTTAAATAATATGTAATTTTAAATAAATAAGGTTTTTATTAAATTCCTATTAATAGATTTGAAAAAGTTTATTTTCAATATTACGTATCATTACTATTTTTACAAAATGAAGCATCTAGGCAACATTCTTCATTGGTGTTTCTATTTCAGGCACATTCGAAAGCTATAAAAAAAAAAAAAAAAACAAATCAATTAATTAATCACATACATACATATATGTATGTATCTTGCACACACTGTATAATATTAATATACAAATATGTATGACACGATATACATACATTCATTCCTTCTAATTCAGCAAGCTCGGCATTTGATGTATCTATTGATGTGGGAGTTTCTTGTAGATATGATGGTTCTTCTTCTTCCTCGAACATTAATTCATCTCCCAATGCATCCAATTCTAAATAAATATAATTCAATTGATTGATTAATTTATGAAAAAAAAAACCCCCCAATTCTACAAAATAATATTTTCCAAGATAATCTCCAAACCTGCTTCTAATTCATTTTCATCAATATCTTCAGGAAGCCCATACGTTCTACCAAGTGTTTCTTGTATATCATTAGCTTGCTCAAAAAGATCTTCCATGTCATCTTGAATATTCTTATAATTATTATCAGTATTATGGATATGAACATTATTAGTAAATTGAATTATAATAATATCTTCGATCGATCAATCAATCAACTCCTCGTGAAATTAATCGGTACCTCGATTTTATTAATATCAATCTTTTTGTATTGCTTTTGCATCTCTTTATTGGCGGTTTGCATCGCATCAACGGTGGTCATCACATTACGTAGATTATCTGTGGTGAATGACGCTTGCTCCATATTAAATGATTGTTGTTGAAGTTGATCTCGTTGTGATTCATACAATTTTTTTTGTTTAAGAACTCTTAACGCCTTGCTCTTGACCGTATTCTATCAATCAACCAATCAAATGATTATAAATTATTATGTGGAATATTATAAAATTTGATGCATTTCTAATTCTCCCAAACGTTAAAATTAATTCAAAAAAGAAAAAAAATGTCAATTTTAATGCCTGTCATACTTTTGCAGGCCCATCCTTCATCTTCTTCATTTGATCTTTGTATTTGACAAGTTCTGCATCCAATTTTTTTATCTTTACCTCCACTGCATCAACTCTTGAATCTGTCTATTTTATTATATATGCAACATACAATATACGTTATAATGATAATAAACATATAGTATATTAATTAATGGTAACGATGAGTAAAATTACTACCGATGCTATCGCATCACTTAAGTTTGGCTTGGGTGTTTTCTTTGATGTACCAAAAAAACGATTCATATTTATTATTATTATTATTATTATTTATTGTGTGAATTGATTGACCTTGATGTATGCGAACAATTTAATTTAATTGGTTGAAATAAAATGCAGGACCCGTGAATAGGTCTCGAACACCTCGATTTTGGCCGAATCTTTTAAGATCCCGAAAATCATTCCTCTCCTAAGATTGTTCGTGAATACATCGCGGGTGGACAAGCCATGTAAATCTTTCAAGATATGGTACATATCGTGCATATTGGATGCGGTTTTAGCTTATTCAGGAGTCTCGTAAATTAGGGTCAAATACATCTTGTGACAACTGTTGGACATTGGACAATGTCCATTTCAAAGGAATTAACATCAAGTATTTATAGCAGGGTTGAAAGAATTCCAGAAAGAGCAAAGATATCATAGTCGGTACAACATCCTGAAAAGTGTAGATTAAGGTGATTTAACTTTAATTCCAGTATTTTTTTTTCAAAAGCTTTCGCGAACTCCTTGCAATGCATTAATTGAAATTATCTTACATACTCATACTTTTAGATTAAGAATATACGATCATAAGGTGATCGAACTTTGTAAATCAGATTTGCACAAATTTTTGTTAATTCATCTTGCGACATTTTGAAAAAGGTTATGCGCAAGAACAATCTACAAGAGCAACCATAGGTGAAGAGGAACTGTCCAACGAATTTTATGCTGCTACCTCTTTCAATTTGGATATTCATTTATTTGTCAATTAATAATATTCAACAGTATACATGTCGTCGAAATAGTCATGTGGCGCAATTTCTGGACAATTATACCCAAAAGTCAAAGTCAAAAATAGTTTCCCCATATTAATATTATAAATAATAAATATATAATAAATGTAAAATTATTTCAAAGTGATAATTATCCGTTTGAAAAAATTTTGGCAGCATTTAACGTTAGCATTAACATCAATATCATAATATCAACATTAGCGTTAACGCGTAACACTTAATATTAAGTTTCCTTTTCTTCGAAAAGTTCCTTTTTTAAACAAAATTCTATGAAAAATGATCGAAATCTCCTTTTTAACGTTAAATACGTTGCACTAAATTAAATTCATCATATTCTTTTGTGCACTCGTTGTAATTCTCTGTGACATAATAATGTTTTGTTGCAAGCATACTCCATATCTAATTTTCTAATTGTTATGCGATGATGTTCCAGTTAATTAAATAATAAACTTTATTACTTTAAAAATTTATAAATACATTTCTATAATAAATAATAGATAATAATAGTAGTATTAAAAATAAAAAAGTATAATTGTTAAAAATGATGAAAAAATCTTAAAAATTAAAATTAAATTGTTTATCACCGTAATAATGATGGGAAGAATATCATCATCAATATTATCTTCGCAATGATCCGTTTGAGATGGACTGGGGCAATCGAACTTGTTGCACCTTGAAAAATAAATTCTGTGTCCTTACTTGGGAGAGCTGGGTGGGCGAAAAAGTTCAATAATTGTGATGTTGTTGTACTTTTCAGATGGTTCACTATCTGGCTGTTTATAAGTGGCATTTGTTTGTATCATTTTTACAAAAATACTTTTAAAATCCCATCTCTATCACCACTTATTAACATTGGATGTGGAAATTCTGTAATTGCTAAATCTGTTATACAGTCTAAATGATTTTTAAGTATTTGTTGTTGTTGAATTGCCGATAATTGGCTTGGATTATAATTATATTTATGTGCATTAGAATTTTTGTTATGATTACTATTATTACTGCGACCACTTGAGAAACTGCTACTATGAGAATGTGATGATGATGAATGTGAACTTGTTGAATTAGAATTACGAAATAAATTTTGTGTTTCATAATAAAATTTAATTCCGTCAAATTGTTTTGCACTATATAAAAATGAATTAATAAAAGATCTTATTTAGAAATTAAATACGACATTAACTTTAAAAGTAAAATTACCTATACACTGGTTTACTTTCGGAAATATCAGAACCGGCAATAATATATGAATCCTTAATATTAGCATTATCCCAAAATCTTATTTTACGATCCGATCCTGCAGTTATAATGAAATTGCATTCTTGTGGATAAAGAACTGCTCTAACGGAATGATCTACAGAAATACTTTTTTCATTGGCTGTAAACGCATTTCTCAATATATCGCTTGACTCAGGTGGATCAAGAGCCTAAAAAGAGGGTTTAAAAAAAATCATATGTATGTATATATATGTGTGATTAATCTCATAATAAACACGCACTTGTATATATTTAATAATGAAAAATTAATTATTACCTTAAACATATCTAAAGTCACTCCGCCCATTTTTTCATCTGTGATTACACCAAATGCTTCCTTACATGCGATTTTCTCTATATCCCAAATTGATATTTCATTTTTACCTGCTGAGACAACTACCCACGCTCTACCAGTCATTGCTTGTGGATGTATTAATAATCTGCTTATTCTACTTTTACTAGGATGTGTCCATGAACGCAGTTGGATTCTAAATCTAAGATCCCAAAGTGTTAGAATACCGCGTGAAGTACCAGTAAGAAGCCATCTGAATTTTTTATCTAAAACCATTGCCGTGATCACTCCATAACTTCTAGGATTTGTAAAAGTCCAAACAACTTCCATTGTTCTCAAATCTAAACCACAAATATTACCTTTAGAAGTCGCATATAACAGTATAGAATCGGTACCGGACTCATAATGTTCCATTGCTACAGCATATTCTCCTACTTCTCCGTTCAACTGGGTTTTTCTTATTATTTGTGCTTTACCATATTTCAAGGGAGTGCTGCCAGTAAAACATTCTACACGAAATATATGAATACTACCATTATCTGATGCTGATGCAATACTGTGTGTACGATCAATAAAAGTCATACATTTGACTTTCCCTTTATATATAAAGGAAATCAGATAATATTAAAAAAAATTTATAAATGATATTATCAAATAAATAAATTATAATTACCTTTTTGTATATGCGTGATTCTTGAACGACAGTTAAAGGTTATAAATCTACCACAATCCCATATTCTTACAGTTCCGTCATCTGAACAAGTCGCAACAAAATTATGATCAGGTGAAACCCGTATTTGATTGATAGAAGCTTTATGTTCAGTGATATGAGCAACCAATGTACCTGTGTATTTATTAACACAAACGATTTTAAGCATTAAAAAACCATATTTTTATATCGACATAATAAATATAATTAATATTATTATTATTACCATCGGGTCTCCAACTTGCTATGGTTTTAATTTGACCTGTACCTTTAGAGCCTTTTCCAACTATTGCTTTTGTGACACTAGGACCAAATTCTATTCAATATTTTTATTTATAATTAAAAAAAAAATAATAGTATAAATTAATATGTTTTTTTTGTTGCGCTCTTTTTTTTTTCATTGAATATAATTATATACCTGGCATAGGTTCAGAAAAATATTTAATATACAATGAATCTAATAAATTTTTAACATTACGATCATTGCCCTCTAAAAATAAAAGTGATAATATTATTAGTGATGTTAAAAAATGATAAAAGCCTCAGACCCATTCAAAAAAAAAAAAAATATATATAAAAAATATTATTATTAAAAATTATAATTTCATACCGTATGTATTAGAAACAAATTGTTCAAGATTTTTTCGTTTATTTGTCGTTGTTGTTGTTGATAATTCAGAATTAGTAAGATCAGATGGTAATAAATTTGTGGTGGATGTTCTAGGAGTACTCGTTGATTCCAGTAGTAAGGATACTTTGCTGCTTTTTCCACTTGAATTAGGATAAATACTGAAATATATAACAAAATAAAAAGTGAGTTTAAAATAGGAAGGAAAAAAAATCGAGTAATAACGATAATAATAATTACTTACTTTGGCGTACCAATAATGTTCTGATATTAATTTTTTTTTATAAAAATTTCGGATATAAAATCAGTCAATTATTAAAAAATAAGAACTCGAGAGCTTATACATTGAAATTCAAATAAAATTCAAAAACAATATATAACTTACCGAATTAAAATTTGAAGAATTCACATCAGGGCTTATAAACGAAATAAATACATTCTGCGGGTTTATTCCCAAATCTTTTGATGCAATTGATCCATCCTAATTTCAAAATATATGTTTGTAAATAAAATAATCTTTATGTAATTAGTCAATTTAAAAATAATAAAAAAGACATTACCTCCAAATGTATATTTTCATCTAACCTTGGTCTGGCACTTAATGTATGTGTATTATGTGAGATATATGAGATAAATGAATTGTTTTTCTATTTTTTTTTAGAAAAAAAATTATTTTACTGAAAAATGTTCTTACTTTGATTTTAGTATAGAAAATTTATAAATATAATCTCTCATATATGCTAATTTTTCTTCGTCTTCATGAGTCATACCAATATTCCTTAATTTTTCAAAATATATCTCATCTCTAAAATTAATTATTTAAAAAGTATATATATATATATATATGAAAAATGATATAATTTAAAAAAACCCCTATTTTTATTATTGTATTTGCATTTTAAAAAAATATAAAATAAATACTCTTCAGATTTAGTAACTTTTTCAGCGTTCACCGTTAATGTAGAAGTTCTTCTGGACAATAAGCTTGTAATACTTGCATTACTAGATAAAGTAGCTGTCACAGTTTTATTGGATTTATGCTCTTTAGCTGTTCTCCAAAAAGATGATTTGTTTGCCTTGCCTACCCAAGACACAGCTGAATCAAAAACAGCACGAGATAACTATATAAAGAACATTAATAATAACAAGCGACAAAATAAATATAAAATAAAATCAATTTGTCAGTATGTATTTAACACATACATGGATTGATGGACGAATGGGTAGATACTAACTGGTTTTTTAACATTTTCCAATAAATGCATTTCTGTTATTTCAACAATATCAGCCTGTAAAAATTGTCTTATTATTGGATATATTATGCACCAAATATCAGTTTGTGGTAAAAGTTTAGCCACAGACGCAATAAAACCAATAGCACCTAAATGATAATAAATTAGTAAACATCAAAAGCTCCCACCAAAGAATGATGATGTTAAAAATTTGTTTTTACCATATCTAATCCAAATCCCAGGATGACATAATAAAGGTGCAACAATTGCTACCAAATCCCATAATTTCATTTTTTGAAATAATCTTAATTCAGCAAGACTTGTGAGTGAATTAAGAACTTTTTCTACAACAAATTCTTCAGTGTCTGTTTTTCATTTTATCATAACAAATAAACAATCATTAATGTGTATATATAATAACGTAATTTAAAAAATAATTATATATATATGTTTTATATAAATATAATTTACCAGACAATGATTGAATCATTAATGGCAGAATGTATTCTTCTAAACCACACCCTCCTATAAAGGTTCCAACACCTACAATACTCTCAAAAAATGCACTATTTATTTATTTAATAATAAAATGATATTACAATATATAATTAAAAAAAATTATTTAAACTTTTAATAGCAAATTTGCAACTTTAAAATCTTATTAATAATCACCTTCGTAACATCCAATCTCTATCATTTAAATATGTGATCATATGACTCAATAATACATCGTTAGCTTTTTGTCGACCAAAGAAAATACATAGACTCGTAATATTTGAAAGTAAGGCACGTTTAACAGCACTTTCATTATCGATAAGAAGTGTTGTGACTTGTTCTTGAATAATTGATTGAAGTTCATGTAAAGAGGCGTCATATGATGTCTTCTTAAAACACATTTAAATAATTAGAATACGTAAATTCTTTCAATAAATTTAATTAAAATGATATTGTATACCTCATATGAATTTTCAAAATCTGCGTCATTATCAAGCGAATTTGAAGTTTCTTCGGTTTTTAGAAGCTATGATTAAAAATACATTAAATGTAAATCATATTAATAATTGTCTATTATATAAATTTTTGAAAATTCTATAGCTAACCTGAGATAATTCAAGAAACTTTAAAGCAGTTTCTGCCAATGAAGCTATATATTGAGCATAAGTCATTCTAACAAGTACTTCTTTATCAGTTGGAAATTTTCGTAAATTGAGCATAATATATTCTGGGAAAATAGTAGCATTCGAAGGAGTAATATTCTCAACCATGGAAAGCTTAATATACATGAACATATAAAATTTTTTGATATTACATTACTAGAATATGAAATGTCACGCATAAGTTTAATATATACAAACCAATTTTGATAATGTTTTGACAGCATTAGCTCTAACAAGAGCAACTTTATCGCCTAAAAGAGAAATTAGATAAGGAACCAGACGATCCAACTTAAACTCGTCTTCTAAATGTTGGCCGAATGCTAACAACATATCCATTGCATGAAGTTTTGTTGAAGGATATGCCGTATTTCGAATCATTGCACATATCAGTGAAATGAAAATAAGTGCACCGCCATCTATAAAGACAAATAAATTAAAATTAATATATGTAAGCATAAAAAAAGATGCAAAAATATTTATATTTAATGTAATTATATATATATAATTACCAGTATTGCTATTTTTTTGTTTATTAGATACTGAATTAGGTTTATAATTTGGTATATGTAAATCCATAGGTAAAGCTGACTAATGAATTCAGGATTTTGAAATGAAATAAATCAATTAAATATATATAAATTTCTTTAAATGAAAGGAATAAAAAAAAATTATGGAAGATATACCGTGGCATTTGATGTGGCTGCTTGAAATAAAATAAAAAATAAAACAAACATAAAAATTAAATTATATAAAAGAGGTTTTTTTTTTTTATTTATCCACCTAAAAAAAAAGAAAACAATATTTATATTGAATTATCCTTACCGTCAATTAAACGAGAGCTTTCACCAATCTTGTCCCCATGACCATGATTTAGGATAATCTCAGAATTATCACCATAAAATCCCAAGAAAAATGCAATTTTATCAAATTCGTTATAAATTCTCTCAATCTTATCATCTGCATCTGTATTAAAAACATAATTATTTTGTGAACCATTGGTAGTTTGTGACTGACTATTATTATTATTATTATTGTTTGAATTTGAATTCATGTTGTTGGTAAAATGTCTTGGATGTGAATTTAGATCCGTGACAGAACCAATATATTGATGAAGAAAAGTGTAAAAATACTGTGGAAATGCTTTGCCACGCCTATACAATATTTATATAAATATAAATATATTCATATTTTTTTAATTGATCAACAATGAATATTATATGAAATTTATTTCGAAGATTAATCCCGACGCAGACTGATCTTAGAAAATTATCAAAAAAAAACATTTACCATTCTTGAAGGTATTGCTCGGCAGAATATCTTTGTGAAGGATCAACATTAATCATATGTTTTATAATTGCCTAAAAAAGATTATTATTTAGAAAAATGTTAAATAAACCTAAATACATATTATAATATATTATAAAATATATATAAAAAACTATATATATTTATATTTATATCACCTTAAAAAAAATTAGTTTTGAATCTAACATACTTTTATATCTGGATCCTCGATTTTTTCTATGTATATTCCTGGATCATATTCACCAGATCTATATTTAAATAATTGAGAAAGTGAAAAAATTGTTGTACCCTCCAAAAAGAGCTCCGCTATAACACATCTGTTATTGAAGGAAAAAAATAATATTAATCAATATGAAAAATACAAATTATATTTAAATGTTATTTATAAATAGAAATTTCACCCTAAAGAAAAAATATCCATAGCAGGAGTAAGTGCATCGTCTTTTTCCCCAAATTCAAGATCACTCTATATAAATATGCATATAAAGTGCATTTACGTATATATGAACTTTAAATTAATATAATTTTATAAATAAATTTACAAATAATCAAATAATTTTAATATCAAGGGACCTTTTTACGATCTATTTCACTGCCGGGTTTATAAAATCTTTCTGGAGCCAAATAACAAGTTCTTCTTGAAGAAGTATCAAAAAAAAAGGAAAAATCAGCTGGATTGTCCTAATTATAAAAAAGAAATTGAATAAATTTTAAAGTTTTTCTTAAATATAATTAATAATTATTCAATCGACAATTATTTTCAACCTCAGGAAGATATGTGGGTTTATACCCTGCAAAATCAACCAAATAAACCCAATTCCATGATGTGACCAAGATATTTTCTGTTTTTATATCACCATGATAAATCTTTTGAATTTAAAAATAAACAATTTTAGAAATAATAATAATAATAATAATAATAATAATAATAATAATAATAATAATAGTGAAATGATGGTATGGAAAAAATACATACTCCTTTTGTATGGGCATCATGTATGCCACATAATATTTGATATGTTATCCATTTCTTTTCAATTAAATTCAAAAACGGCCGAGTACTAAAAAAATAATTTCTAAATGCTTGTTTTTTTTTACAAAAAAACTTAATAGATTTATTGAAGAATGAAAAAATTCAGCACCTAATACGATCATAGAGACTGTTAAAAAAATGTTGTCTGATAAGATATCCAGCCTTTTCTGTCTCAATTATTCTTTGATAAGGGAATGCATTTGGAATCTCAGATAATGCTTCTCTCTCCTCTATTATTAAATCGATAAAATCATAAATATCTATCATCTATCTATCCATCTATCCATCCATCCATCCATTTATAAGAAAATCCTACCTTTAAGTGTTTTAACAACGTTTGACAAAGATAGGCTAGGTTCAGGTTTAATAAATATCTTGACTACAACGGGACCTTCTTTGTGGCGACCACAAATAGTTTTCATAAAACGAGCACTGCCCAAACTGTGGAGAAAAAGTTATTTCTAGATATTTGATTTGAAGATATATTAACAAATCAACAAATAAATATTAACCTTTTTTCATATTGAATGTCACCAAGTTCGCTAACATAACTGTCTATGCCAGCTGTTGCTATAGAAGTTGTTGTACTTGATATATTATTACCCATTAACTATAAAAGAAAATTAAAAGTAAATGCGAAATTGAAAAATCTAGCCAAATGTTTTTTAGTAGTTTCACAGGCGTGAGGTTAATAATAATAATAATAATAATAATAAAAATTATCAATTTTCGTGATTATATTATTTCATTGATCTTTAAATTGCATTAAATCTTTGTGTTTAATTTATTACTAGACTCAAAAACCGAATGTAATAATGTTATTATTTGAAACCTTCTATCGAAGCAAGTATATTGATTGGGACGAGATATTCAATTTTAAATTTTGTGCAAGTTAATTGATTATACAGTATAATATAATTTTACCAAAAAATTAACGACTTTTATATATTTCTTGTCTAAAAGTTATAAAAGTTATTCAGGTATTCATTCTAATACTTATAGATTATTTATTATCTTTATTATTATTATTATTATTTATTGATATCTGAAATTTCAATTTATATTTTTCAATTAACAAACACTTAGTCAGTGCTCCAAAGAATTTACATGTTAAAATTACACCTGTATTGTAGTAATGAAATTAAATGATTTTTCTCATTGTAGAACATGAAGGTGGTTGTTTGATCATAATAATAATATATTATTCAATTAAAAAAAGACACAATGTGTTGGTGTTGAGACTGAGGTTGAGATGATAAATTTATATTATCAAAAATAATTAATGAATGGTTATCTGTCATCGTTAACAGTGTTGATGCAAGGAAATGGCAGTGGATTGCTGATTGATAAAGAAACTTGATGGATTTATTGGTTGTGAATGAATCACACAGTACATAGTTCTTTAAATATATAAACCCTTAATTTTTTTACATGGCAATTACTATTACACAAAGATTTCAGGGTTCAATATTGTGGAATATGTTAAAAGAAAAACTTATTTTGCAGAACTTTTTTTGCTTTAAATCTAACATATCAAGCTTAAGTGCCAGATTTGATAAAATCACCCATCCTATGATTTTAATTGAGAGTGCTTCAAAAACTCGTCGTTCGTTTGTTCGTGGAAGATTGTTTGTTGCATCATCCTTGTTTTCAACAATCTTTTAATATGGTATTAATATTAATGACCTTAATAAATATTAATAGAACTATCTAAGTTTCTTCCAACAAAAAACGGGAAAAAATATTTTCGATATGATGATCAGTATTGGCATTTGGCCGAATCGGCCAAGATAAGCAGCCAAAATAAACGGCCAAAATATTGATAAACTATGTTTTTTTAAAAAGTCATCATTCCCACGTTTGTTCTTCTCCATATTGAAGCATTAAAAATACCTCATAAATATATTAATTATGTACGACTTTTATCTGAACAAGTAGATAATGGCGAAGATATTGTAGATGCACATCTTGCAAAGAGAGGTCAGATTATAGTGTAGCTTTATTAGATAGTAAAAGCAAAAGAATTTGTACACATTGAAAAATGTTCAAATTTTAAAATCATACATCTTGAAGTTTAATGATGAATTTTTCGAGTCTGATAGAATTGTTAATAATTTAAATACTGGAAACTTTGAATAAAGTAATTCTAGAAAAAGAAAAATTATAGTATTACTATAATTTTTCTTTTTCTAGAATTACTTCAAGTCTCTAGCAGTGTTGAAATTACGCGAAATCTGCGGATGTAACATTATTATCCAATCAAATTTTGAATTTTGGAGATAGTTTCTAAATTTGTACTAGTTACACGACGAAATTTCAAACTAAATTTTTAATATTCGACCAAAATGCCAACACTGATGATGATAGTCCAAAATCCCATCCCCTATTATAATAATATTGAACAATAGATTGATCCAAAAAAATATTTTTTCGTCCACATTTTTCCAAAAAAAAACGACAATAACATCTACATCAATTACACCGCAAGCTCAAAAATAAAAAATCTTTTTGATTTGATGAATATCGGAAAATCAAAATTAGAAAAAGCAGCTGATTCGAAATTTAATTAAAAACGGGATAAGTAGATATAACAGGAATGAAGTTACAAAAATTTTATTGTCAAAGCAATAAGGGGATTTCAATTCAGGTTGTTGGACAAAATTTTATTTTTACAATGTCAATTTAAATATTACAACCATTCCCGCAAAATTTTATTATCCGAACTTTTTTTATTTTACAGAATAATTGTATAACCATATGAATAATAATAATAATAATAATAATCAATTATTAAAATAATTATAATAATACCTAATAAGAATAGCGATAATTATAATAATATCTAATAGTTATAATCATTAAAAAAATAAAATGATCAATTATGAAAGATTAGGATTCTATTTTTTATTTGAAAAAAGGAACCGGATCAAATTAGATAAATTCGAGTTGAATCAGATTTAATTTAATTTTATCAAAAATAACGTCCATGTTTTTATTATCATTATTAGTTTTAAATACAATTTTGGAGTGCTAGCAATAGAAAAGAGAGAGATTTAGAAACTTAAAAATTCCAATAATAATAAAAATATAATAAAAATATAAATAATACTTACTTAGTCCACAGGCAAATGCAATAATAAAATAAAAAATCAGCTTTGGGAGAAAAATAAATATTATTTATTAAAATTTATACACATGGAAATTGTCGATAAAGTTATTATATATTTTTTTTTAATACTTACAAAGAATACAAATATCAAGAGAATCAACAATTTTGTATCCTTCCACCACATTGAACGCTAATGATTTATTTATTTCAAATTAGTCATTATAAATTGCATAATTTAAAATTAAATAGCTTAAAAATGATAATTAATATTTTACCTTTAGAGCAGTGCTACGTTTTTTAAAGGCAAAGGCTTGTTGATTAAGATTATCAGTTTTATCTACCAATAATTCAATTCTTTCACCGCGTTGTAACACCCGTTCTAATAACATCAGAATTCAATAATTTATTTAATTAATTCAATAAATGATTTAATTATGAATAATAAATCGATTTACATTTACCAATATTGTGAACTAGAACTTCTTTATTTTGTTCTATACTTCCAAGAGCTTGTTTAATCTTATCAGCAGCAGGATTGTTAGAAAAATATTCCTTTAGAAGTGAATAATAAATAAATAAATATTGTTATTATAATTATATATATGTATATGCATAATATATATAATGTGTCGTGAATAATTTTTAACATTTATTAGTGTTAATTTTTCATCTAAAAATATTACCATTTGTTTAGAAAGGATCGTGGAAAATTCATTTAACCCATATGGAGGAGATGAAAGAATTCTGTCTTTTGTGTAATTGTTCAAAAATTTGGCCTTAATATCTTGTAGAAAAGCAAACGGAACTCTTCGTCCAAAAGAGTCATCTGCCATACATAAATAAGTAATGCCTTCTTCAGAAATGTAATGAAAAAGATATCTTTGTATCGAATAAATTAATTGATTATTATAATTGATCAAATTATTAAGTTGATTAATTATGAATAATTAATTATGTACATATGTATATAATATAAATGTTACCTATCATAAACATATGTAAGTTTGGAATCATTTGGAGGAATCTTCTCAAGGATTACTTGAGTAACTATTAAGTAGTATATTGAAAAGATAAGTATAGTTGCGTATTTTAAATCAAACCAAACAAATCACATTAAAAATACCTTGAGTAAAGTTTCCTTTTGAGTTTGTAAATTCTGTCAAAATGATAGGTCCACGAGCTATTAAACTGTAAATAATAGACATTTCCAAATTACGTTTTTAATCCTTTTTCGTTAAAAATATATAAATATATGACGAATTTAGCCTTTAAAGTTTTTTATTTTTTTCACATTAAAATGGTGAACATTATGTCACGGGCAGTGTTGAAAATAGTACAAATTTGGGGAAATGTAACGTAACACACCGGCATTCTCAGAATTAAAATTGTTACACGATTATTTTATATTGTTTTCAATATTTTCCTAATCGAGATTAGTAAATCACCCCGACTAATCACATAAAATGAAATTTGGTCCCTGAATTGTGAAATCTGAAATGTCTGCTGAAATTTGAAATGTTTGCTGAAATCTGAAATTACTTTTTTATATGCCCAAACTATTTTGTTATTAGCTGAAATTGGGCAAAATTACTTTAAGTTAAAATAAGTTGATTGGTATAGTTTTTTAATGTTCATGTTTATAAAAATGCCGAGAAGCCCAAATTGCCCAAACCAGTTTGGACTAGAAACCTTAATTTACACTCTCTTCATTTCATATAAAAAGGTGATATTCTTTTTGCTGAAATTGATGAACAACCTCAAAAGAATATTGGAAAAGTTAAAGAAACAGGTCATCTACAAGGCAGAGTATTCAATTGATAGGAAGTCACTTTGAAATATTTGTTACAAAAATGGCCTCATGTTTGTCCAATAAACAAGTTGCTAACATTAGGAAATTCCCCCATAATATTACATCCATAAATTTTAATATGTAAAGTTGCAACTTTTACATAAAAAATTATGTAATATTTACACTCAATGTAACAATTGCATAATTTTTTGCATAATATTACAGGGCCTGCTGTAAACTTATGTAAATAGTGTAATAATTATGTAAATCCACAACAAAAAAAATTTCCTGATGAAAACTGATCTTGAAAAAACCAAAGATACTCTCAAGTTGATCCTCACATCATCCTACTACAATGTCAAATCTACAAAGACCTGTTGCCATTATACAGGAAAAAATACCCTTATGATTCCAATTATACATACAGCTCAAATTGGTTTGGTGATTTCAATGGTCAAAATCAAAGATGACTCCTCAATTAATTGTGGCATATGAAAATTGAATTGTGGTTAATTGTGGCTCCCATCTTTAGTCAAAATTATTCCAATTTTGATGGTAGAAAGTAGAAATTAATTATGGCACTCACTATTAGAAACATAAGTGTAATACCCCTTTATAACAGTGTAAAAATACTTTGGACTGCATGTATAATGTAATGATAAGCATATCATATTTTGGACCAAATGTACTAATAAACTTATTAAAAAAACCTCCTCCATAACCGGTAATACAGAAAACATGTAATGTATGAACCTCTATGTATGTAACGTATGAATTTATTTCCATACATGTATGAAAA